GCTTAGTTTTTCGGATCTTTGCTGTGGACGGACTGCGTGGTGCTTCTGCCTAGAGCGCCATTTTGCCAGAACTCCCTGTGGACTTGTTTCTTAAACTCAAGTGATGCTTCTGGATGAAACTGCTTTCATAGGAGCATTTTCTGGGATCCTGAAGAATATGTGTTTTGAGGAACATTGACTTAAAGTTATTTGAAATGGAAACTTGTTTTCTAGTTTCAAGTTATCTTTGTCAAAGACCATTTTATATAATTAATGTAGAACTTTGGGATCCATAAGAATATATACACAAATCTCCAGGGTTCTTATCACCTCCATTTGAGAAACACTGGTGTATGCCTATGAAATCTTTTATTGCTACTAATTAAATTGCCATTCAGTATCAACATGCAACTACAACTACTACTGAATTTTGTTTTAAAGGAATGAATTCAGAGCCAGTTGGGTACCCCACTCAAGGAAGGATGGATCAGTTTTAAGTGTATTGAAGCCTACACTAGATGGCATCCAAAGGTGAATCTTGGTGTTTTATTTCTGTTTCATTGCTTGAAATAATCTCTGCTCTTAAGAAGAATCTCTAGCTGTTGCTGTGTAAGGGATTCTCTGGAAATGTGGGCATCTTCAAAATTGAGATAGTACATGGGTTAACTGAACATATAGTTATTGTGCCAGGCACTGAAAGAAATAGCAAAAGCAAAGACATGATTCCTGTCAAGGAATTTGCTATTTCATGGAGAACACAGAAATGAACAAATCGTTACATTGGGCAGAATTTGATGAGTACCATAAAAATGTTTGGACGTTATGTGGAGCGTAAAGGAAGAGTGGAGAAAGTACTCTTACTGAGCAAAGTCATGGCAAGGGGAAAATGCAAGGTGTGCCTAGGGAGCACCTTGGTTGGTTAGTTCAGGGGATGTGTAAGCTAAGGGCTTTCAGGTGCTACTCCAGTGCATCTTGCTTTTTGCCAGTGCATTCTAATGAAGCATATGTTCCCTTAGATAGAGTGAATTACTCTATTCTTTGTTATGGGTTGGGGGCAGGAGCGATATGCTGGCAAAATTAGAATAAAGTTTTGAACTGGGAATAAGAACACCCAGACTTTAGTCCTGGCTCTAACCTTGAATCCAATCACCATCAGTCTCGACTTTAGTGTGAACTTTAGGGACTGCTGCTGATGAATTAAGATAGGGACTTGAATGGTTCAACTCTTGAAGATGATATTTTTCAATGCTCAAAGGATCAATAAAAGTGCTTAAATTTTTTTTTCCACTTCTCTGAATGATTCTTCTGACTTCTTCTCTGCCTTTTCCTTTTATAGAACCTTAGAGTATTGAAGGAAATTTTCTGGACCTGTTTTTGTGCCTTTTCCCATATCCCCCTTCATCTTTTCTATCTTTCTGTAACTTATCTACCCATTTCTCTAGCCAACCCTCTAATATAAAGACCATGAGATTGAGGCTACTATGATTAAGCTTTTATAATGTCTTTTCAGGGTATCTGGGCCCTGGTTATAAAATGTACACCTGGATGGGAGTTGGTGTCTTAAAGAATTAAAAGTTAACCAACCTATGGTTACTGCTAAAATATTTCCTAAATGTGAAAGTAGTCCTTGGAAGATTTTTATCAGCTTAGAGTGAAGGAAACATAATTATTCCTGAACTGAACTAATGCCTCTTCTGTCCCACCCCGCAAGCCTGTAAGCTTGGATGGTAGAAAGCACTGGTGTGTATTCTTAAACAGAGCTAATGCCTTCCCCTTCTCCAAGTCATACAGACTAGGATGGAAGAAAACTTGATTTTACCCAACTGTATTTGGGACTGTGCAGACAAGTAGGACTTAACACTGGTATTCAAATTCTAAAATTTTATTTGAGAATTAGCTGCCCTGCTGAATTTAACAAGTTGAACGGTCATGCACAGTTACATATCATTGTATTGGTGCCTTCGAGTGATTCCAAAGATAGTACAGAAAGTTCCTGTAGACCCCATTGTTATTATTCCCCTATTAACATCTTAACATTAGTGTGGTACATTTGTCACAATTAATGAACCAAGGTTGATACATTATTATTATTGTTAGGTAAAGTCTATAATTTATTCTGATTCTCTTTCAGTTTCCCCAGTGACCTTTTTGATGACCTTGACCATTTTGAGGTGTAATGGTCAGGTATTTTGTAGAATGTCCCTTCAGCTAGTCTTCTAAGGTGCCTATTTAAGACCCAAGGAGTAGCTTCCTTCCTTGGCTTGGCAATAACTAACATAAATAGAAGTTTTTTCAATGTTTTATTTTATTCAAGCTGATTAGTGTGCTGATTTTAACAAGTGTTCTGATTAACATGGTTGTCACATGCATTGCATATGGATTATTAATTTAAAATAACATAAAATTGTGTTGAACACAATTTTAATATTTTATGTTTGATGTTAGACAGAGATAGTGTTTCTGAAGAAAATCTGAGTAACGAGTTTGACAGTAGTGAGCTGTTTTATCAAACTTTCCATTTTTCCTCCCAATATTTTATTATGAACAATTTCAGAAAGGTTGAAAGAATTGTACAATTAACACTCATAAACCCATGACTTAGATTATGTAATTAATATTTTGCTATATTTGATTAAACTTTTTCTTTAAAAGAAAAAAAGCAAAGATAGCAAGAATGGTGACACAACATGAAGAATGTGACCTATGTCATTGAATTGTACATGTACAAATTATTGAATAGGTATATTATCTGCTGTGTATATTTTCACCAAAAGTAAAATAAATATTTAAAATGGGGAAAAAATTCTTATAGTCCCATTAAGTTCATGGAAATAATTTTTAAGCTAAAATGTATGAACAGAATAGAATTGAATACAAGATCTTTCTCATACATGCTTAGAATTTGTTGCATATTAAGATAAGGGTCCTTACAATATGGTAATCCCCAAACCCCTATCCTATAGTAAAGTTAGCTAGCTAATTAGTAAAAATGGTCAAGGCCATTGCACTTTCAGACAATAGTAGGAACTGCTCTGCTACCTTGTGCTTGAAGTATTTTCAGCAACAGGATAACCTTTAGATCATAAATTTAGTCAGTCCTTAAGGTGGGCATTGGATTGACCCATATTTTCATATAATTCTTTTTCCTCACTTGCCTAATCCTTATGCAACACTGCTAGTGCTTGCAATTACAGGCCCTTGGGGAGACCAAATAGGCAAAAAGTAAAGACAGGAGACACCTATATCTAATGCTTTAGGATGATGCATCCTAGTTTTATTGTTATTGTTGAGATTTTCTCAACAGTTTTGGTATCCTACTGAGCCCTGTTTTCCTCCTCAAGGATGATCCTGGCATGTGAGACCTGAGGACTGCAAGCTGCTCTAAGAAGCTTGAAATCCAGCAGATCTTTCGTTTTGAGAATCTGGACACACTCCAGCTAATCTAAAAAGATGATTTGCAGGCCACCTGGAGAAAAAGGTAGTTGTGGGACTTCCATGTTTGGATTTAAGGGCTCTAACTTTCTGCATCACTCCTTTTTAAAGCAGAATATGACACAATTTTTGTCAATTGCTATACAATTTCCTTGATGTACACATACATTTTAACTTTCCACAATGAGTTTTGCATATTATTTCCTTTAACCCTCAGAGCTAGGCTAGCTATAAGGTCTCTATTGTCTTAGAGAATACATAAGGCACGAGCAACAGAATGTTGCTAGAAATGTGAACATTAAACGTGCTTCTGGCGGGGCTTTAAAAGAAAATGATGAACATTTGATTGGACAATGAAGGAAGGGCAATGCTTTTATGCAGTGACAAAAACTTGTCTAAATTATGTTCAAATGTGTAGTGGAAGGTAGAACTTGCAAGTGATGAACTTGGATATTTAGCTGAGAATATTTCTAAGCAAGATCTTAAAGGGGACATGTGGTTTCTCCCTGCCATTTATAGTAAAATACGAGAGTGAAGAGATAGTCTTAAAAATGAACTGTGCAGATCCTTGAACATGATGCTATAGACAGAAGCACCACCCTGTCCCTCCACAGCAAAGACCCAAAAAACTAAGTAAATGCATTTACTCTGCAGCCCCTCAGGAAGAAGCAAAGATGGTGCACAGAGCAAGGTACTCCAGTGAAAGGAGGGGGAGGTGGGGAGAGGCAAGGAAGAAATCAAAAGAAGCGGAAAAAAGCAACACCAGCAGCCAACAAATGGCACTCAGAGAGCCACCTGTTCGGGTGTGTGGAATCCAAGCAGCCACTGTTTTCCGGTCAAGAGACTGTGGCCACGGGAAGCAGAGGAGGCCGAGTTGGGGTGAAGAAGGGTGGGGGGTAGGAAAGCGTATATCGCCAATTACCGGGATGCTAAGTAAAACAGAGACAAACGTCAGTCCTGGAACCCTAAGCATCAAATGAAGAGACAAAGAACTCAACCAAGCACTGAATGGAATAAGAAACTGACAGAGAACAGAGAGCGAGGAGAGATATGGAGTGGAGGTCCCCTATTAGCTAACGCAGCATGGATTCACCATCTTGGACTCCTGTCAGAGATCAGCAGACAAAGAGTACAGGAAAGCAGATTCACAGAGCTCCCAGAAGGAGACAAAGCACCTGCTGGACCTGCCCTGTTGCACCATAGCTGAGCAATTGGCCCTGCCCAGTGGACAAGGTGGTGAGAAGTATCATGCCCAGAGACGAGCAAACAACAAAGAACACACAGCCCATCTGCTCAGACATAACTGAATAAAACAAAAAATCAGGATGAAACAAACAAATCTACAATCAATAAACAAAGAAAATAACTACTGAATGTCCTGAAGACAGCAGACAATACCAAAACATATAAAAAAAACAGGACAGGGTGGTTCCAGTAGGCATCCAAAATAAAACACCAGATGGCTTTCCCGTAGAAGAAAAGGCACTGGAACTAATTACCTGATAGGGAATTCAAATCTCTTATATTCAGAGCTATCCAAGATTTAAAGGAAAAAGCAGACAAAAATGAGGAAAAAAATAGACAAAATCATGGAGAAGGCAGACAAAACCAAGGAAAAGACAGACAAAACAATGGAATAATTCAGGAAAATAACACAGGAACAAGATGTCAAAATAAATTCAAACTATAGATCACACAAAAACAACAATTAGAAATTCAAAAGATAAACAACAAGATTTCAGAAATGTACAATGTCATAGAAGGTCTGAGGAGAAGGTTTGAAACAATGGAAGACAGGATCAGTGAAATTGAAGACAAACACTTGGATACAACTTTGAGGAAAAATCAAAGAAAAGAATGAAGAAAAAATGAAGAAATCCTGAGAATGATGTGGGATACAATCAAAGCAAAAATTTTCGAGTGATCAAAGTTCCAGAACAGGGGGAGAAAATGGAAAACAGAGGATCGTTGAAGAACTGCTAACAGAAAACTTCCCTAATATCAGGAAAGATGAAAACTGACCATCCATGAAGCTCTACGAATGCCATGTAGGATAGACCCCAAAAGAAAATCACCAAGGCATATCATAATCACACTCGCTAAAACCAAAGACAAAGAAAGAATCCTGAGAGCAGCTCGAGAAAAATGAAAAGTCACATACAGAGGGGAAACAATAAGACTAAGCTCTGATTACTCACAAGAAATCATGCAGGCAAGAAAGCAATGGGATGACATATATAAAACCTTGAGAGAAAAAGATTGCCAATCAAGAATAATATATCCTGCAAAACCGTCATTCAAATACGATGGCAAAATTAGGACATTTCCAGATAAACAGAAGTTAAAGGAATATGTAAAAACCACACCAAATTTACAAGAAGTATTAAAGGGAGTCCTTCGGTTTGAGAATAAACAACATCAAACAACAGTCTGAATCTAGGACACAAGACCACACCAGCCAGAAACCAACCTAGGAAATGAACTCTCAAGGATTAATCCAAACTAACAGATTTACAACAGGGAACCAGAGAGGTTAATCTGTAAATGACAACAACATCAGAACAATAAAAGAGGAAATAAATGGTGTAGGTATGGAACTTTCTAATGAAGAGGAAGGCAAGGCGATATCAAATAATGAAAGACTAGTTCAAACTTAGGAAGATAAAGTAAATTTCAAGGTAATCACAAAGTTAACAAACCTACTGATCAAAATAAAGAAGAAAAACATAAAGTCTCAGTAAATACAAAATCTATAAAAACAAAAGAAATTTAAAAAATCCATAAACAAAAGGAATTCTGCACAGGGGAGTAAGAGGAAGAAAGAAAACGTCAGCACCACAAAAAAAGCAGTACAAAATGACAGCAATAAACTCACACCTATCAATAATTACACTGAATGTAAATGGCCTAAATGCACCCATAATGAGTTGGAGAGTGACAGAATGGATAAAAAAACAGGATCCATCAATATGCTGTCTACAAGAGACACACCTTAGAAAAAAAGATGTAAATTTATTAAAAATCAAAGGGTGGGAAAAAAATATATCAAGCAAACAGCTACCAAAAAAAGAGCAGAAGTGGCAATAAAAATGGACTGTTCAAAATGAAAACAAAACTTAAAGATTTGGAAAACTCTGTTGTACATACTAAGGACACATGTCCTAGAATGTTCACCAAGGATGTGGTTACACAGTCTTTTGTTAAAGAGATTAAGCCTGTGACTGGTTGATCTAACCAACCACCACAGCAGAAAACCCCTCAGGTTAGACTGGAGGAGACAGAGAAAGAAGGAAAGGAAAGAATGTTGTCTACCTCTTGGAATTCTGCTGTCAGAAAACAGACCAAAGAAGCTACATCTGTTGTCCTCCCAGAAAAGAAAAGGACCATCCCTGGAGCAGCACAGAGATCAACAGAACTGTTGGAAGGAGCATGGGAAGCAGGGCCTTGGTTTCAAAGGGTGAGGCCACGGTCTCCTGGATCTCAAAGGGTGGGTCCACAGCCTCCTAGATTTCAAAGATTTGTATCTTTGCCAGCTTGGTTCTGGAGTGTGGGATTGCCATTAAGTTTTGCTGCGGGATGGTGTCTCTTCCCCAAGCTGAGGGGGAAGGGCTGCTGTGCCCAAGGGGCAGAAAAATGGGGTGTGCTGGGGCCCAGGGAGTGGGGTTGCCACTCAAAAGGACTAGGAGAATGGGGCCACCCAAAGACAAGGGAGGAGAGTTGCAGTCCCAGTGGGCCTGGAAGGCAGAGCTGAAGCCCAAGGTTGAGTGGCCTCCACCTGGAATCCAAAGGGCATGGCCAACACCCAGAGTCTGGAGGGCAGTTCCATTGCCCAGATGGTCTCAGAGAACAGAGGATTATTTTCAAGTCTTGAGGGATAATGTAAATTGTTCTGCTGGGTTTTGGACTTGTTTGGTGCCTGTTATCCCTACTTTTCCTTCGAATTCTCCCATTTGTAATGGAAATGTCTGCCTTGTGCCTGTTCTACCATTGTACCTTGGAAATAGATAGCTTGTAGCCTATATTTCACAGGTTCACAGATGAAGAGGAATTTTGCTCCAGGGTGGAATATGCCTAAAGTCTAACTCATATTTGATTTAGATGATTCAGAAGATGAGATTTTGGACTTGGAGTTGATTTAAGATTTGTGGGATGATGTGATGGAGTGAATGTGTTTTGCATGTGGCAAGGACATGAATTTTGGAGGGCCAAAGGGTGGAATGTTATGGATTGAATTGTGTCCCCCAAAATGTGTGTCATAAATCCTAACCTCTCTGCCTGTGGTTATAATCGCATTTGGGAATTGGTTATCTTTGTTATGTTAATAAGACAGGATTCCTGTAGGGTGTTCTTGAGTCAATCTATTTTGTGATATAAAAGAGATTAAATAAGCAAGGGAGAGAAGTAGAGATGGGGGAAGAGAGAGAGATGACAAGCCCCACATGAAGATTGCCCAGGAGCAGAAGCTTAGAAAAGATAAGGACCTTCCTCCAGAGCCAACAGGGAGAGAAAGTCCTCCCCTGTAGCCGGCATACTGAATTCGGACTTCTAGCCCCCTAAACTGTGAGAAAATACATTTCTGTTTGTTAAGGCCACCCACTTGCGGTATTTCTGTTATAACAGCACTAGGTAACGAAGACAATCTTCATCAGTAAGTGCTTCAAGTCCTCTTCACTTTCAACAAGCAAGGTTGTGTCGTCTGCATATCACAAGTTGTTAATGAGTCTTCCTCCAATCTTGATGCCACGTTCTTCTTCATATAGTCTAGCTTCTCGGATTGTTTGCCCAACATATAGATTCCATAAGTATGGTGAAAGCATAGGATCCTGATGCACACCTCTTCTGATTTTAAGCCACTCAGTATCTTCTTGTTCTGTTCGAACGACTGCCTCTTGGTCTATGTACAGCTTCCACATAAGAACAATCAAATATTCTGGAATTCCCATCTTTGTAATGTTATCTGTAATTTGTTATGATCCACACAGTTGAATGCCTTTGCACAGTCAATGAAACATAGGTAAATATCTTTCTGGTATTCTTTGCTTTCAGCCAAGATCCATCTGACATCAGCAATGATACCCTTATTCCATGTCCTGTTCTGAATCCAGCTGGAATTTCTGGCAGTTCCCTGTCGATGGACTGCTGCAACCATTTTTGAATTACCTTCAGGAAAATTTTATTCGTGTGTTAATTAACCTTGGTTAATTCATGGTTAATTCCACCACTTGTTGCCCATTGGGACATATTTTCCCAGTATACACTTCAGTAATATATTTTTCTTTTGTCTCTTCTCCAGGTCTTCCCTAAAATAATAGGCTTGTTGTCTTAAGTGTTAGTGACCCATTCCCTTTGAAGATCCTTAGGTGGAGATGGGGCATGAGGATCTTCCAGGGGAAAAGCTCACTAACACTGGGCAACAACTCTAGGCCAAGAGGTTGTACCAAAAGACTCTCCTGGGCCCAGACAGGAAGATGCAATCTCAGAAGACAACCACCATACGTCAGAGGTGGGTAAGCTCTGCAGTCTTAATTTTTATCTTGCTTTCCGGTATACATTGCACTTAGCTTTCTATTGATGTTTGTATTTCTCATTATTCTGTATCTGCACTGGTAAGAATAGCTTCCTAACTAACTTGGGAAGTATCTGGGTGTGAGATTGGCACAAGTTATGGTGTGAAGAGGGGAGCAGGCTATGCGAGTGCAGTTGTATAGGGTGGGACTGTTGTAAGTGGTAGAGTCCTACAGATAAATTGTTCTTCGTTTTGGAAAACATGAGCAGCGTATACCACATTGGTTACATAGATCATGGGAAAATCATCATTCTGCTCCATCTGGTCCCCAAAGTCTACCTTGAGGCTCAGCAGCAGAACTTTACTAATCATTTACATACTTCAGGATGCCTTGAGATAGCAGTGGGATAAAACACGCAACAAACTGAGAAGATAAGTGTAAGTTGTATCTATTAATGCTGGGCTCATTGATGGAAGCCTGTGTACTCTAGGTTAGTGATAGGCCAGGCTGATTAAGAGAATGAGGGTTGGGAGATGGAGGTGACTATTCACTGCGGTAAGTCCTGATCATACAGGCATTGTCCACCATTCTTTATAAAGAGTGGACACCCTACAAATTACATAAGATTTTTCATGTGTAGAAATCGAAATGTAATTGCTGCTGGTTGACTAGAAAGACTCGTGGATTTGAAAATAGATGAAGTTTTATAGAACATGTTAGAAAGCCTAGAAACTAGAAAGCTAAGATGAAGAGTTACCTAAGAGGATCTCACTGTACTCAAATTTTTTAAGAGAGGTCTGCTAGGGCAGCAAGTACTGTATGTGAATTCTCTTATTTTGAGAACTTCTGCCTACCAGAGTGACTCACCTTTATCTCATACTGAGTTTTGAAAATTCTGCCCTCTATGGCTATGTTTTGGTAGCCTTGCCTCAAGACAAACAAGAGCCAAAGTATCATGGCCCAAAACCAGGGGACTTAAATAACCTGAGGTAGTTCTGTTCTTAGACCCTACTCTCTCTACCTTCATATCTACTGTTTGTTTTTGTGGTCTCAATTATTAATCATTTAAAGGGGCTCCTTCCTAGCTGATTGACATTTTAAACAGGATTCCAGTCTTTAAATACAGGAATAGGGCTGATTGGTGTTGATATTTTCGGTGACTTTATCAAGTGATATTGGGCAAGTCATTTTCTTATTTATGCAATAGTTTCCTATTCTACTAGATGAGGAAGTTGTATTAGTTTTATCTCTAAGGTCCCAAAATCTTCAAATTTGTTTCTAAGTTCTGTGGAGACAGTTTCTGTGTCTCATTAATTTGAATATTATTTAACTCTAGCACAGTACTCAGTTAATACTTTATGGCATTTACATTGTTTCTCTCCTTTTTTATTTTTTTGTAGCTCAAGATCATTTATTCTGTATCTGCCCAATCATTATCCTTCCCAAAAGCAGTGCATCTGGGACTTCAGCAGAATCAGGAGATTTGAAGACACCAAAGGAAGTCAGCCTTCTACATGAAGATCAGCATGCCTGGCACTTCAGCATTTTAGAATAGCAGAATGAAGTAAGTTGGTGTTGCAGTCCTGTGAGGATCACTCCGGAACTAATAGCTGTTTGACTGTAGGGTAGTGTGGAATGAGGTTTGGTGGTTTAATGTGAAGTTGTGTGACATGTGAGATGGGAGGGGCTTCAGTAAAGTAACTCAGGGACATTACATTCTGCTTACCAATTGTATCACAGAGTACTTTAGCCTCTTCTTGTCTGCTCTATACATTTACTTCATAGCTGCTTTACACTCTTAGAGGCCTAACATATAGAAGCCTTAAACATAGTTTTAGGTTTCTGCTGAAAGGGTTGGCCCTTTCTCACCTTCGTTTGTGAGAGATTCTAATTGCAGTTAAGATTTAGCACTGAAAGAAACCCAGACCCTGAAGCAGCCATTATACTCTTGAAGGGTGTGAAAACCAAATCAATTTTCTGAAGGGATGGGGAAAATTATAGATGAGGGAGAAGGTGAAGCTGTAAAATGTGAGGATTGACTAGATGCTGTCTTAGGGCAGCTGTTTAAATTCTCTCTGCCACTCATTAACTATATGACCTTTGGAAAATTGGATTCTCTTATTAGACTTGTCTGTCTTTATTGTGAGAGTTAAATGAAGTCATTGAAGTGCTTAGTACAGTGCCTGGCCCATGGTAAGTAAATGGTAACACAAGAAGTTTCATAAATACATTTGACACGATGTAACAGTAACCACTAATAACATCTGGTGGCAGGTAGAGTTGGTATCTTTTGGTTTTATGTAAGAAATTCCTAAGTTAAAGTTTGTAAGTAGAAGAGCATCTGTGTTGGTGGTTGCTGTTGTTGTTATTATTATTATTATTGGTACTAATATAAACAGTACTGATTCTAGTAATGGAGCCCTGGTGGCACAAGTGGTTAAGAGCCCGGCTGCTTACCAAAAGGTCGGTAGTTTGAATCTACCAGCTGCTGCTTGGAAACCCTATGGGGCAGTTCTACTCTGTCCTGTAGGGTCACTATGAGTCAGAATTGACTCGACGGCAGTAGGTTTGATTTGGGGTTTGATACTAGTAATAGCTTATTGTGATTATTAATGGCACTTTTTGGTTTTCTTTTGTTGTCTTCTCTTTGTGATGGTTTTAGTGCTTCTGTGCCCCTCACTTTATCTTGTCTCTTTGGCTTCCTTCCCCTCTTGCTTATCCCTTTCACTCATAAGTGTGTATTTCTTTGCTTGTGTGTTTCTTCCTTAAGTGTCTTTGCTTTTTCTTCTCTATGTTAAGTGTATCTTAACTATGTCTCTTGCCAGTTTCTTCTCTGTGTGCTTTTGCTTCATTTCTCTTTTTGTTCCTAAGAGCTGTGTGGTTTGTGCCTTGTCTTAGATCTATCTCTCTAGTGTTTTGTTGTGTTTTTCATTTTCTTGTTGCTTCTCTTTACTCTCCTTTATCTGGTTCTTCTTTCACCCCTTTTATGTCTGCGAGTCACGTCCTGTGTTCGTTTTGCTCTTTTCTTGTTCTTCCTACCTCTTTTTTTCTCTCTGTGAACTCTTTGTTTGTCACCCCCTACCTGTTGTTTGATGTTTTACTTTTTCTGATTCTAGCCTTCCTTCTGCTGTTTCTAGTCTACATCTATCATTTCTGTTTTCTGCATTTCCTCTCTGCCTCTCTTGGGCCATTTTCTCTCTTTTTTCCTTCTCTGTTTGTCTCAGTGTTTCTTTGCTCTTTGTGATTTTTTCCATTTCAGCATTCATCTCTCTGTTCTCTTATGTTGTATTTCTCTGCTTTTTCCTTTTCCTAATCTTCCTCTCAGTATTTCAGCCTCTTCATGAGTCTGTATCTCCTCTTCTTCGATTTCATGCAATCCTCTCTTGGATATTTCTTTGTGCCTGTGTGTATGCATGTGCATGTGACAAAGGGGCTTCCTAGCCCCTTCCCAGTAGGTGCAGAGTGTCAGCTATCAAAATAAGCACTGCAGAGCTGTTCCTTATGCCAGGCTGCCCTGTGAGAGGATCCAAGATGAAAAGAGGGCCCAAGTCTCTAGACTGAAGTAAAACTCAAGACCTAAGAAGGACAAAAGGCAGAAAGCCCAAATAGATGGGAAGCTCATAATGGATAGAAGGCCCAAAACAGAAGACAGATAGATGGTTTGAGACTTGAGACCTGAGGACTAAAATAGAAAGCACATGTCCCAAGAAAAATGAAGCCTTAGCCCTGAGACCAGCAGAAGCCCAGAGAGCCAAGATGTACAGAAGATGTCCGGAGTTGGATGTAAGGCTAAAGTCCTGAGTTAGAAGGCCCAAGAGCCAGGATGCATGGAAGATTCAAGAGCCAGGACACATGGAAGGTCCAAGAACTGAGAACTAAGATACACAGGACCTTGGATAAAAGGCCCAAGACACACGTTAAGACCCAGGACCTATGACCCTAGATGGACAGAAGGCCCAAGGAAAACAGCTCGAGATCAAAGGCAGGAAGCTGGAGGCCCAGGACCCAGAGCTCAGGAAGTATAGAAGCCCCAAGACCAGAGGAAATCCCAAGATGAGAACCCTAAACTTCAGCTTTTCTCAGCTCTTTCTATTGCTGTATCCCCTACTTTTGGACATTTGCAATTTTCCCCTTCCAGGTCTCCTATCTCCATTTAAGTAGTTTTTTTTTGTTTTGTTTTTTTTTTTTTTTTGAAATGTCCTTTTGTGATGTTGTGATTACTTTAAAGGAACATATCTTTACTTGAGGACAACATCAAAGACTGGTAATATTATCCCTGGGACAATCTTTTGAACCATTTCTTATATCCTAGTTTTAAACCACTCCCTAGATTTTTCTAAAGTGTTTTTTTTTTTTTTAAACTTACATTTCTCGTCACCTCTCCATTTGACCAACATACTGATATTTAGTCAATCAATTCAATCTAGTCTGGATTGTGTCATTCCTCTCAGGAGCAAGCATCTATATAGGTGACATTGTATTTAAGTCCTCCCTTCTCCTCAGAAGCCCTAGGCTGATGGGAAGAGAAAACCATAAGCTGTTGGGGAGAAAAATGCCAGGCTTTCTAGAGAAAATGTGAAGAGATGCTCCAGGCCACTGAGAAGAATTTAAACAAGAAATACCCAGATGTGCCAGCCTACTAAGAAGCACCAGCCAACAACACCTTACTTCTTAGAGCCTGGGTGAGCAGGATTCCTGAGATTATGGATTTCTAGTAATGGTTACAGAAAGGGTGATTGGCCCTAGGACAAAGGCCCCAGGGAGACAGCTTGAACTCCCTGCTCATAGTAGTGGCCAAATAGTTTGGTGGACTGTACCAACCTGGGTTTAATACCCACCTCTAGGCTTAAAGGTGAGAGAAATTGGGAGTATTTAGCAGGTTTAATCCTTTTCTTTTCTCTTTTTTTCCCTTCTATGTGGAAAGATGGTTTAAATGATTGATAATGTATATGAAAACACTTTTCAGACTAAAACATAGGAGGAAAGCAAGGCATTCTCATTAATAGTGTATTGGCAGCCAGGCACAGGTAACTATTTGAAAGTGCACTGTGAGCTGTGATGTTTTATATAAATCAGGGGTCAGCACCCTTTTTCTGTAAAGAGTCAGTTATAAATACTTAGGCATTGGAGGTCGCATGGTCTCTGTTGTATATTCATTTTTTACAATTCTTTAAAAATGTTAAATCCATTCTTAGCTTGTGAACCAAGTGGATTTGGCCTGCTGTCCCATAGTTGACCAACCCCTGATGTACATGCCAAGGACTATGCACTGAATAATATTAATTTCCTTCTCTGTGCCTGTTCTTGTGCTAGGGCACTGGGGATGCAGAATTATTTATGATCACTTTCAGATGACCTGAGAAAAAATATATATGAACATGCTTTGTAAACTATAAAGCACTTAAAAAAGAATGAGTTTCAATGTTTGATGAATGCATATTGATTACTTATTAATTCTCTTGTGCGAGACACTGCGGATACAAAGATTAAAAGAAGCATGAATAAAAAAGTACTCTGCTAAAAGTATGTAGTACTATGCAGATTTAAGGAATTATGTGTTGGGTAAATGAATAATTTATATATATCGGTGTCCAACATGTTTCTGCTCCTATGATGATTTTCAGTAAAAAGATTTAAAGTATTACAGATAGCAGAAAAGAAAAACAAAAAACATGGAAATTGCTTTTAAAGTATAAAATACACTACAAATATAAGGGACTAAGCTATTGCAATAATCTATGAGGTGCCAGATGCCATGCTAGATGCTAGTTATACGAAAGAGACAAAAAAAGTATTATTGTCATTATAGAATTAAAAATTTCAGGAAGGAAATATATATTAAAGTGCTTTGTAAACTAAAGCACTATACAAATACTAATGGACTACATGTTTATGAATAAATATTCATCACCTCTTATGTGCCAACCATTGTTTTGGTACTATGGATTCCATGATTACTAATTATCCCAAGTAATCAGAGGAAATTATAATCCAAAGATCAGGTAGTGTAAGTTTGACAAATGAATATTAATATTACATACCAGGCACTGGATCTAAAATGAATTCTCATTGTATGCTTGATCCACAATGAGAAAGGTAATGTAAAAAACAAAAAAAATTAAAAAGAACAAAACCCATTGCTGTCGAGTCGATTCTGACTCATTGCGACCCTATAGGACAGAGTAGAACTGCCCCACAGTATTTCCAAGGAGCAGCTGGTAGATTCAGACTGCCGACCTTTTGGCTGACAGCCAAGCTCTTAACCACTGCCCACTCATTTCTTGTGCCAACAGCTGAGAATAAGGAAATGTTAGCGTTTTATAAACTATAAAGCACCATATAAATGTAATTATTGATTTTATTTGGTGCCAAATAGTAGGTTTATAAAACTGTATCACAGTTACCAGTATACTCTGGGGGAAAAAAGTAGGAAAAAAAAGGTTTGAGTAAGGATTGTTAACTAAACACTGAATATAATATGTAAGATTAAATTTCTGATGAATCTAAGGATGGATAGTGATTGTCTTATTATGTATCAGCCTCCTTGCTAGGCATTGTACCCTGGGTAGCAGTAGGTCATACGTGTAAAATCAGTTTATAAGTTGTAAACTGCTACACATAAATAAGTGATATCTGCTAAATAAATGTTAATATTTACTATCACTTATCCCCAGAGATAGCAAATGAGGCACAGAAATGATCATCACTGAGCCTACAACAAAGATCTGTGTGTAAATATACAAAGCCTACTGTTCTATACAGACATGAAGGAATTAACTGTTGTCTTTATGACTGAATATTGATTACTTGCTTTGAGGCTCAGAACTGTGCATATCATCAGATAAAAAAACTATTTTATTATTATGGGGTGCTCACAGGAGGAAGTGAGTTAATAGGTGTGAGATCCAGCCTAAAGTCACTTAACCACTACTAAACTTATTCAATAATGAGAACATAGGGGGAAAATGGATTTGGATTTCTTTGTATCAATTAACAATGTACAGCGCAGTGTACTAAATACTGAGCTACATAAAGAGATAAAATCTGGCCTAGAAGGCTACTTGCTCCTTGGCCTAATTTAAGAGAGGAAAATTTTAAAATAGAAAGGGGTTGTAGTTTTCTAGTTTACTAAATGGAAGATCGAGGTGATTCACCTTGGCTTGGCTTAGACACAGTAAAGGAGTAAAAAGAAAGGGCTCAGCTTTGCTTTTTGATTCATTCGACAGAGCATTTTTTTATGTGGAATATACCACTCTAGGTCCTTAGGATGGGCCTAGTATAAAAGTCGATCTAATCTAAAAGGTTATCTAATGATTACTGATCACAGCTGAAGATAGGAAAACATCTTTTGTTTATTCAATAAATATTTCAGTGCCCTTTGCCTGCCAGGTACCCTGCTAGATGAAGTAGTTAAGTAGGTCTGGACTAGAAGACTCGTTGACTTGCCTTGGAGATTTTTTTTTTTTAAAAAAAAGGCAAGGTTCTTTTAATACAAAGTGAAAATATTTTTGCTGGTTCCACGAAGCCCCAAATTATTTGCTCATTGACCTGGTTTAAAGCCAGAAGAATAGTAAAAGGGCTAAGGGTTTGTTCTTTCATTCATTAACTTAAAAATGGTTTATGATGAGAATCAAGATGAAACAACTAGCTTTCAAGGTCCTTGGCCTGGCTTAAGAGTCAGGAAGACACTTGAGCAATAATAATAAAAAAAAAAAAGAGACCCATTGCCTTCGAGTCAATTCCGACTCATAGTGACTCTATAGGACAGAGTAGAACTGCCCCATAGAGTTTCCAAGGAGTGCCTGGTGGATTCGAACTGCTGACCTTTTGGTTAGCAGCCGTAGCTTTTAACCACTACACCACCAGGGTTTCCTGAGCAATAAAGGGGATTCTTTTTTACATTTATCATAATTAGTAAAAATGTATTGATTAAATCTGAATAAGGTACTATTACTAAGTGTTGAGAATGAAAAGATTTAAGAGACCTAGACCCAAATGCACTGCCTCTCACACAAGCTTATGGTGGAAACACAAGAACTAATTTAATAAGAGACTGGTTCTTTAGTTGAAAAAAATGTATCGAGCAGCTGTGATATGTAAGACACTGAGAAGGTGTGATTAAATAGATCACCTCTTTGGCATGCTTTTTAGAGGGGAACAGTAGAGGCTTTTATTTTTTTAATTTATACAAACAATGAAGATGATGCCAAATGAAATAGATCTGGTCCAAAAGGCACTTAGTCTGACTTAGAGATGAAATTAAAAATAAGAAATGGAGTGATATTCTTTTTGCCAAACAGAAATGCCTGTTATGTCAAGGCGTTATGTTAAATCCTAGACAGAAAATAAATGAAAGAGATCATTTATTTATTCATTATGCAAGTATTTTTGAGTGTCTATTGTGCGTAACACCTTTTACTAGATTATCAGTTGACCCCAAAGATGAAAACATGTATACTTTCCCAGAGCTCTTGTAAAACTTTCCTTATGGCCTGTTTTCTTGTTAAGGACATAGTTTAGTCCCTCATTAACATTGCATGGTTTCATTCCTACTCCATATCTCTTCTACCACTCTGGCCACTACAATAAGCAGGTAGCTGGGTTATATACTGAGCTTGCTCCTTAAGTTACAAGAACCCTCCTTATAATAGACACTTCATTTTTTCTGGCCCATCCCTCATAAAAAAATGGCTGCAACCACTGTTGGGCAGAAGGAGGGATAATGACCAACAAATTCCCAAACCAGACTCAGGGAACCAATACCCCATACTCAAGCCACAACTGATTTTGAAAAACATTTACCAGTTTTGTCTATTTTCAAAAAAAGTATCTGCCAAAATAGATCCGTTTCAGGAGCAATCCTCAGCATAAGATTGGAGATGGAGACATGATTTCTCTTTTGCAATAGCTTCTCAACTTACACCTTAGAAATGTCGCCCTTCTTTTCCAAACCTGCTGAAGAAAGGATTTGTTATAGTAGCATAGTGTCAGTGGATGAAAACAGCTTAAAAATGTTACCCTGCTTACGTTTTAAGTTATGAATAATAAAAATTTGAAATAATTGGCAAAAATTGGAGCAAAAAAATGACTAAAAAATATCCTTTAAAACTAGGCCCAAGAGGGCTTTGACCTTTTCTGTTTTTAAATCACTCAAAGAGGGTGGGCTAGGAGGAAGAGTGAAAGAAAAGGTCAAAACCTGTTGTCTAAGGGCAGCCAGCCTTGGTTCTGGGTTGGTCTTACCAGCATTACCAGCTCCAAGTCTAACTTGAGGTTGTTTTTTTAGTTTAAAGAAATCCCAATAACTCTGGTCATTGCTGAGATGAAGGAAAAATCCTTGATCCTCATTTGTTTATAAGTTTTTGAGAAATAATTAGTTTTGCCTGAAAGGTTATCAATTAAACCTGATTTATCTAGGAGTAGAATTTATTAATCGAATCAATGTGACTGTTCATCGTAAGGTGGCCTTAAGACTGAAGTTAAAATTTGCTGCAAAGGATGAGGACTTTATTTTTCATTGTAATGCATACATAATTTCAAATCATCTAAACTGTATTTTACATAACAAGCCAACAATAACATCCATAAATGGAGGAGGAACTAGATTAATGGCAATGGACAATTGATGGAGGAAGCAAGGTCGAAGATGATTTGGGGGTAATGTTTCTAGTTTTTGCTTTGTACATTTTTAGTTAAAACATCAGATACATCTGAAATATTAATAATTTCTAGCTTTTAATGTATCTGCTGGATTCAATAATCCTTCTTTCTTCAGGTAGGGGTGGGGGGTGCATTATTGGGAAGTAGAAAGGAGAAAGTAACTAAAAGCGTTCCTTTCGCAGTTTCTGGCTTCATAAGACTACCACTACTGGTTAAACAAGAATAAGAGGACATTATCATCTGCTTTTGTTGCATAAATGAAGTTGTGAACAAATCCATATTTAAAGAAAATGACTTCATCTGTACTATTCTACCTCAAAGGGAAGCTATGCCAGAATTATAAGATAAATGGAAGACACTGTGACTAGTGAACTGATGTGAAATGCAGAATCTCTGTTGACCCTTGAGTGTGTTGAAGATTGAAGAATCTTACTCAGCATGAGTGACTACCAAAAAGCACTTTGAACTTAAAATCAGTTTTTATAGCTTTACTTTTCTAGTTAACTTAAAGACAAGTGTTCATGTGTTCCAAACTCAACCTGAGACCTTGAACTTGGTTTGAATAAGCTATTTTACTCCCTTTGCCCATGTTACCCCAACCTCAAGCAGTCAAATAATTTCATCTTTATCTAAAGCCATATACATGTCACAACTGAGACAAATTGGGGAGTTTGTTGTCTAATGTAAAATAAAATGTACTGTTCTAAACCTTTGTATTTCGATAACTTCTGTCTATCCCTTCCCAACTACAGTAACTTAAGTTTCTTTTACTATCACCCAGTTTGGGTAAATGATTTTCAGGTCTTATTTCTTACAGCTGCATGCTTGCTTTGGTCAGATATATTGAGAAGCAAAAGCCTAATAAAAAATGAGAAACGAAAAAACTATTTAACAGGGATGGAATAGAAGTGGAACATAAATAAGCCATTTTTAAGGTTGTGGGAAGTAGGACACAGTCAAAAAGGAAACTACAGTACTAATTAACAGGCCCAATCCCTGAGAAGGCAAAGGGAACTTTGGTGTTCTTAGGTTTCTGAGTGACTACCAAATGGTAAAATGGTAACTTCACAGGCATGTAACCCAGTGCAGTGTTTATAGATGAGTTCCTACTGCTTTTGTTCACAATTAGCAGTATTTCCCACAACTGGCAACCAGCATCTTTGGAAGAAAGCTTTAAGCACTCTTGGTCCAGTACATGTGCTTTTAATTTGAAAGCCTAAAGAGTCCTTGTCTTATGTGTTAGTAATTGTTGTCATTGGAAATTAGGATTTTCATTGGCAATATTGACCTATTATCTTGGGGTATTGGTTTTGAACTGCCATAGTGGTAGGTGGCTTTTCCTTCTTCCTGCAAAGCTGGGTGTGGGATAAACCAGGAGAAAGCATGTAGAGGAGAAAACACATGGGTGATGAGGAAAGGCTTCTCCCTAAAGTGAGTCTTTGATGTCCACCGTGGGTCCAGCTCCCTCAGCAGCTCCGATTCCCTCAAGGGTTCTGACTTCAGTCTCCTTGCCATGTGTGCTGCACTTGTGTTTGGTTCCTTTGGCCCTCAAAATTCTTATTCTGTACTTTGCTGATGGAGAGGGAATGAAAAACACTGTCTCTTGGTTACTGAGGAAATGTCCGATAAGGCAATTTTATAGGGGAGCAGGAATATTTAGAAAATGTGAAAGCATTTGCCAGTATTTTTCAGCTTCTGTATTTTCTATAGGGTGGTCAGTGCACTTGTACTTAACATTTGTTTTACGTCAGGCCATACCCACACAATTTTTAATTATGCCTTCTATCAGTTTACTATTCTCCCCTTGATCAAAAGAAGTTACTTTTATCCCCTTGGATTTTGTTTGTTGTTTTTTTTTGAAAGGGTAATGTTACTGGGACTGGTAACGAAAAAACCAAACCAAACCTGTTGTTGTCAAGTCGAATCTTGACTCAAGACCCTATAGGACAAAGTAGAACTGCTCCATACGGTTTCCAAGGAGCGGCTGGTGGATTCAAACTGCCAACCTTTTGGTTAGCAGCTGAACTCAACCACTGCACCACCAGGGCTCCACTGGGACTGGTAGACTTAAGCAAACTCTTCTTTCAATTTAAGAGTTTAACAATTTAAGTAGGATCTAAAATTGAGCCAGCCATTCCACTCTGGATGGTAGGAAAACCGCTAATTATGGGGACAACTTGTTACAAAGTTGAAGGGAGTCAGGTAAAACCAATTGAAGGACAGTTTCTAGGGCTTACATCAAATGGAGTGCCATAGGAACCATAAGAATGGGTCTCATACTTTTAAACTTGGCTATGTTGCTTCCTTTGGCTTGATAAATTGATATTTTGAGGGTTTCTTACCAACGATAGGTTCTGGGTTTTCCAGTCTTTCCCAGTACCCGTGTTCCAGGTGGTGATCTGTTTCCCCATTCCAGTTTCTCCTGTGTAGTCTGAGTCAAAAATCGTAACTCCCCTTTTGAGTGCTATAGCAAAAGCCTTCATTGCTTGAGGGCATAAGGAAAGGAAGGAGAAAGACAAAGTAGGATGTGAAAGAAATGTTGGATTAGAGCAGCTTTGCTGGTAGCTAACTACTTAGGTAGAACCCCCTCACTTCTCTGGGGAACTTGGCAGTAAGGAAGAAAAATTGAAAGTAGACTTTGCAGCTTCACGGCTGTGTGAGTGCTGAGTAGTATGGTGAAGGGTCCAGTCCACTTAGGCTGTAATGGGAGGTCCTTCCACTTTTGAAGGAGCACCTGGTCGCCAGGCTGGAAAGAGTGTGTGGCTATCTCAAGAGGGAACTTCTGCCGGATCCATACTGCCTGATGCAACTAGGAAAGAATCTTGGTCAGAGAAAGCAAATATTTAGACATCATTACATTAGGGGGCTGGGTGGAAGACTGCCGGGAGCATTGGTTAAAACAATATGGTCTCCCATAAAGTATTTCAAGAAGACTGCTTTTAAGTTTTCCCTAGGGTGCAATATGGATTTGGAGGAGGGCCAGTGGCAGGACATCTGTCTGGGGCAGCCTGGTCTCTTGGCAGTTTATTAAGATGGCGTTTTATGGTCTGATTCATTCTTTCAACCTTTCCACTAGATTGGGGTCTCCATGCTGTGCGGAGTTTCCACTTTATTCCTAAAGCAGCTGAAACCTGTTGTACCATTGAGGATACAAAACGGGTGCCATTGCCACTATTGAGACCTCTTGGAAGACCAAAGTGGGGGATGATTTCTTTCAGAAGGGCTTTGGTTACCTCCCTAGGCGTCTTGGTCCATCAGGGAAAAGCTTCTACCCATCCTGAAAAAGAAATCTACACACACCAGGAGATATTTCATCTGACGTTTGGTTTTGAACAATGTCAATTTGCCATATTTCACCTGGAAAGGGGCCTATTCTTGAGGGCCGGGAATCTTGGGCCCTTAAGTCTTTGGATTATTGACAACACAAAGTAAGCAAGTGTCAACCACATGGTGAATGGTGTAATGAGCTTTTCTCCTAAGACATGTTTTGTTACCCAATCAAACATGGTTTCTTTCCCAAAATGTGATGCCTGACGTAAGTGAAAAATCAAAAACCTGATTGACAGAAATGAAAATCTCACCATCAGAGGTGTGTTTCCAGCCCTGACTCTCTTGGGTGGCACCCCAGTCCTGGGCTCTCTGTAAATTTTCTTGAGTATATTGAGGAGGTTCGTCTGGTGTGGGGATGGTTGGAAGGAGAACACAAATTGGGTGGACGACAGCAGCTATTCTCTTGGCCTCTATATTGGCCGGATTGTTCCCTGGTACTATTGCATTGTTCCCTTTTTGGTGAGCTCTGCAAATGCACTACTGCCATCTGCTGGGGTTTTAGTACAGCATCCAAAAGTTGCAACAGTTCAGTTCCATACTTAACAATTTTGCCCCCTGTGTTTAAGAGACGCCTTTCTTCCCACGAGGCTCCATATGCATGCAGCGCTTTAAAAACATAATTGGAATCCATGTAAATTGTAATTCTCTTACCCTCTGCCAATTCCAACGCTCTTATCATGGCAGCGAGTTCAGACTTTTGGGCCAAGGTGCACACTGGTAAGGGCTTGCTTTCAATAACAGCTGATAAAGAGACAATTGCATACCCTGCACACTGGACTCCCTTTTGCACGAAACTGCTACCATCAGTGAACCAGGTATCGTCTGGGTCAAGCAGGGGCTCGTCTTGCAAATCAGGTTGACTAGAGTAAATAGCATCAAGGACTTCAATTATGAATACTTTCAGGGGGTCAAGAGGCAACAGGGAGGCTAGGTTAAGCTGTGAACTAACCTGTAAAGCCAAATTTGATTCTCCCAAAACCTGAGTTTGATACAGTGCTAGCCGACCAGAGGTGAGCTACAAATGTCCTTTTTGTTCCAACACTACAGTCACTGTGTGAGGGACAAACATGATAGTATCATATCCCAAGTAAATGTGTTAGCCTCCTTTACGATAATGCTAGCTGTGGCGACCATTTGGAGGCAGGCCAGCCAGCCTTTTGAGACAGTGTCCAGATTTTTAGAGGAATAGGCAACAGGGCTTCTCCACAGTCCCAACAACTGGGTTAATACACCAATGGCTACTCCTCTTCTTTCATTTATATACAGTTCAAAGGGTTTTTGATAATCTGGCAGCCCTAGGGCTGGGGCTTTCATCAACTGGGACTTTAAATCACAAAAGGCTTGTTGCCTCTCAGGAGTCCATTCGAAAGGATCTCACTCTGCCCCCTGAGTAGCCTGATAGAGAGGCTTCCTAGGACCCCAAAATTGGGAATCCATATGCAACAGAAACCTGTCATTCCTAGGAATTCTCTGAGTTATTTACTTGTCTTAGGAGGGGCTAGGTGGCAGATGGTTTCTATTCTTTCAGGTAGTAAGCACTTTTGCCCTTGGGAGATGAAGAAACCTAGGTATTTTACCTCTGTGAGGTTAGCTTGTAACTTTCCTAAAGACACTTGGTATCCAGCTTCGGCCAGAAAAGTTAAGACAGTCACGGTATTTGTAACAGAGTCTTCTTCAGACTCACTTCCTATCAGGAGGTCGTCCACATATCGGAGGATCACTCCTTGGTTGAGGGGAGGTAACCACTCTAGATCTTGGGCCAGCGCTATTCCAAAAATAGTGGGAGAGTTCTTAAACCCTTCAGGTAGCACAGTCCAGCAGAGCTGTTTCTTTTCTTAGTCCCCTTCCCATTCAAAAGCAAAGATCAGCTGGCTCTCAGCAGCTGGTGGGATACAAAAGAAAGCATCTTTTAAATCCAAAACAGTACAATGAGTACAGGAAGGTGGGAGAGCCAATAGTAGGGTGTATGGGTTCAGGACTACTGGGTGTAGGGTCTTCACAACTTTGTTAACAGCCCACACCTCTTGAAAAATCGGTACTCACTGGTTGGTGCCTTCTTTACCAGCAGAACAGGGGTGTTGAAAGGGGATCGACACAACAGTCCCCATTCTAGGTATTGAGTGATCAGTCCCTGCAGTCCTCAACTCTCAGTGGATATTGTTTAATCCAAGGAGGTATGACATTGGGTAATAGTTCCACGATCACAGGGAGGACAGTCTGAGCTCATCCTGGCCAGCCGTTTGCCCAAACCCACAGGGTTACAGCATCAACCACTCTTTGAACCATGGATGAGATGGAAACCTGGGATAGCACCGGTGGGGTGAGGGCTAAGAGAGCTGCTTGCAGTTTCCAGGCGTTCACTGGCGGTACTGTCAGAG